TGTCCAACTTATCCTGAAAGATGCTGAGTAAAAACACTACTGTGTTCAAAACCAACGATTATACAATATAATATGGAAAAACAAGCAAAATCTGTAGTATGCCAAAAAAAAAAAAAACGGGTGCTGGACTGATTCAGATAAAATCTCCAGAGTGGATCGGACCAGTCTACACATCTAATGTATCCCAGAATGCAAAGCACTTTAATGTTCACAGCATCTCCCTGTAGGGCTTCATTACAACTTTACTAACTTTTGCCACCAGCAGAGTTTTCAGCAGGCTTAAGTTGTATACTGTGATATCATAGTCTAGGGAATACTTTCCTTCTTTTTTTTTTTTGTTAAATTACTCTAACTACAGTTTACATTTCAGAGCAACCTTATACTTCAGCTACTGTGTGAGTGAAATGTCATGGAAGATATGAGATTGTTTTGACATTCTTTGCTGAAATGACATAGCTGCTGACGAGGGGAACATGTTCACAATATGACCCAACCGGCATGTGCATTTAAATATAGCATACTGATTGAAGCAAAGGTAACATGTCAGCCATGTTTTAACAATGGTCACTGTTAGCAGAATGTCTTTTTTGCATCCCTGACTCTGACCTTAACCATCTCGTGTGTCATGTAAACGCTATAAAATGACCTATGGAAAACGTAAAAGGCTTTGAAATGACACATGAAATGTGCTAGAAGTGACATGCTATTTATACTTAATTTCATTATTATGAAAATGTGAGGCTCAAAGCAGCAGAAATACCAGAAGAACTAACTTAAACTCACAGCACATTAGCAGTCTGTCAATCTGGTTCCTTCCTCAACATCCACGTTTTTCGAGCAGGAGGAGATGTTGCACGTTCGCCGTGCTATTGCATACTTCTGCTTTTCAGTATACTATACAATACTGCTTTGACTTTCCTGTTTCACACTGCATACTACGATGGGATGCAACATGCAGTACATACTAAATACTGCGTTTGTCAGTAGCATGTAGTCGGTGTTTTTGAGCCTGTCTTTACTCCTGGGGCAGCTGGTCATGACAACTCCCTAAACCCCAGACTACAGGCCCGGATAACAAAAGACAGAATGCACAAGAGAATCGGTTTGGCAGGAAAGAGGATCATAAAACTGCCATCAGAATTCTGGCTTGGCCTTGGTCACTGCTCACCAGTGAGTCGCAGACAAGCTGATCCCCAGTGATGATCACAACACATTTCATTTTACCTGCCAGGGAAGGTAAGACAGAGGAGCCATGAGGGGAGTCTGTGCCGTGTCCCTGCTGCTGCACATGTACCACCGGAGACATGAGCGGCTAAATTGGGAAAAAGGCAATACTTTCAATGAAATGAGGCTGAAATGTGGCTTTTGCAAACTGGTAAAATTCTTCACTGGATCAGCAGTACATGTTGGATCTCTGACACGACTGCATAGCCCTTTTTTTCTTGAACTCAAAATGCTGCATGACATAAGAGGGTTGTGTGATGTATCACTTGACACATGCACAATCATCGCATCGCAGGAATTATGATGTCAAGTGAAGCAAATGACCTCAAGCACATCATGTTACAGCCTCTTTTGCTGCTTCATACAAAAAGAAAACTAGCACGGTTATTATTTTTTCATGACTAATCTATAATACAAGTCTGCCTGATGGAACATAATTTACTCTGATTTAAGGGTTCTTGGCTACGTGGTGTTTTTGGAGTCACGTGTACCACAAAATGATGGATGAATACAAAAGTGGAAGATTTGGTTGCAAAAAGAAACACAACGTTGGTTGTATTGAAATATTCCATCCATCCATCCATTATCTATACACCGCTTAATCCTCATTAGGGTC